GGTGAGTGGTCATTGGTGTGAGTGTAGGTGAAATGTGGTTTTACCATGCAACTTTCACGCTCATCATGGGTCATCTGAAAATAGCCGCTCCATTTTTAAACATAGGGATTAGGCTACGCAAAATTGTTATTGTTGTTGGCTTCTTCTACCATGCAATAACTTCGGAGTTCAACAAACAACGAAAAGTTCATAATTCAAAGTTTCAAACATAAGAAATTAAAGGTTCAAAGTTCAAGCTTGAAGTTTTACACAGAGTAATAAAAAAGACCACAATATTCTTACTTTGTGACTATAAGTACATCTCATATCTACAACAAAAAAACTGCACCACCAGTTTACTGTTTAATGAATAACATGGAGTAGTAAATTAAATTATAAAAATAAAAAACAGTAGACACTTAAAAAATATTCAAAACATTCTGCAAAATAACTGAGGAGAACGAAAATAGAGAACGGACATAGAGGAGGTTCAAGAAGAACACGGGAGGAGATGCTAGATAAGAAGTGTAGAACTTAAAAGAGAATATTTGGGATGAGAAGATTCAGTGAAGAAGTAGACATGTAGGGTTTTTTTTTACAAGAGTGTTACGAGGGTCTAAGATACAATAATATGTGGCCTGGCCCAATTGTGATGTTTTTTATTAAAAAAAATCACTTTGAGGCATGCACCTCACAACTAACTGAAGGTGTGCAGAGGTGCAATGAAGCGCGGGCCTTATGGAAATTGGTGTTCCTAGACATCATGAGGTGAAATTCTGATTGCCTCACCATGCCTCAAGCACACTTTTTTGAACCAACTCAACCAAGGACCTACAAGCCCTTGTCATTGCAGGATATTTCTTCTCTCAATAATCCAAAATTAAAACTTCACTCTATTATTGTATATATGAAACTAATTAAATCATATTAATACAGAGTGTGATGCTATTGTCAGTCATGAATTAATGCATTACAAATTGATCTCAATGTCACTATCAATTAATAACTCATGCCCTTTTTAAAAAATAAAAGTAGAGACTCTTGAGACGTATTATATCATGGTGAGAACTTTTATGCAGATATTACTTTTCTTTTAGTACAATAATTTTGTGTATATTGCAGTTTTTTTCAAGGAAAGGTGACAGCATGATATATTTGTACTTTATTGTAGCCATTGAATATTTAATGATACCTTCAAAACAGCTAGTTCTTCTGTCCCTAAGTAGAGCTGATGTTTTCCTTTTGGTCCCAACACACTATATTTCCTTAATTTCTTTGTTGCGCAAAATGTTTAGATAGCCTGGCAACATCATCAGTTATTTGCAGGAACTCGTCATGTTGGCAGTGTATCTGTTCTCTAGGCCTAAGTGTCTTTTATCATGTCTTTTTAGGAACACTTTCAAAAACTGAGAGTTGAGAACGCAATGAGCTCATCAGAACCAACTCCCAAACAGGTACCTGATTAGTTTTATCTATTCAGATTTCACAATAAAACGTAAACATTTTGAGTTTCTAGCTTCTTATTTCTTATATTTTGATGACAGATTTCTTATCTTCAAAGTTTGGGATGTACTGTTGTCCCTACATCTCGTCTCCATGCATCCCGTCTCATCGAGGAATACAAATCACTATAAGGCTCACAGTTCTAAAGTGGCTCTCAGATACAACAGTCAAATATTACAATTTGCAAATTGTGTCTCTGCTCTGGCACTGTTATTTATTGATTTTACCATCCTGGTAAGTGGTAATCTTGTACTTCACCCTTCAACTTTAATATAATACACAAATATATCATGTTCTATCATATCATTGTTTTCGTCGTCGATTTCATAATGCTCTCGTTTTCCTCTAATCTCTATGGTTGTTTGAGCAGGTTCATGTGTAGGTATATTTGTTCATATAAGAAGACAATTACCAATATGACCCTGAATTGGAGGAAAGGCACTTTTCATTTCTGCTTCCATGCATCTTCCTCAGACTCTGTGATTTCATTGGGATTGTTGTTTTTGTTGTACTCCATTTACCACAGTGCAAGGACTAAAGAGTCCCTTTGTCTCCCATTTTGGAATGTAAATCCCTTTATTTAATACTTGCTATTAGGATTTAATTATTGACCATTACATTTTTGTATTCTCAGAATTGGCTATGCCTTTTTCATATTTATTTACCAAAACAAAAAATGATGAATCATCTAAAATACTCTAGCATTGCTTCCATTGGGGTGGTAAATAAAGTTATAATCTCTTGGGTGCCTGGTATGTCCCTAGTACGTGCATAAAACCCCATCTCAAATTTGATCATTCATGGTCGGATTTATTTCCATATTTTCAATTAAAAATAGATATTCCCTCCATTTCAAAATTATCCTCTTGTTTCAGATAATGTGCGAAAGTTTCTTTTGTAAAACAATTTTATTACAAAGTAGTATGAAAATAAAAAGTACCCTCTCCATCCCAATTGAATTTGTCTATTTTAGTCACCGATGTTTGGAATGATTTTAAATACATTTTATATGAAAATCGTTGTGAAATATAGAAATAAAGTTTACATATTTAAAAACTTAATTCAAAGTTATATGAAAAAATGTGACATGTGTTGTGGGAAATGTGTGTATTCTTTATTGATAATAGCTCCCTTATATAGGAAAAAGCAGCCTAGGGTTTTACAAGAGAAAACCCACGGGCCAGTACAACTGTATTACACAATATAAAGTAAATTCTATCTACACAACAGCACACTAATTTACAAATTCCTTCAACACTCCCCCTTGTGCTGAGCTGTAGGTAGAATTACAGAATCTTGATCTCTTGTCAAAATCTCGTCAAGTGTCAAAACCCTGTGAATAAAAATCTTGAACGAAGAAAAGAGTACCGATCCTTACTTCGATCGCTATGTTCATGCATATTGTTACCTCATTAAAAACCTTACCAAGTAACAAAACCCAATGGGAAAAATAAACCTTGGTTTAAGGAAAAGAGTGTAACATAAAATAAAAGCTAGACCTTTGAATATTCAAATCTCCC